CCTGCCTCTGCCTCCCAAGTGCTGGGACTAAAGGTGTGCACCACCACTCCCTGCTAGGAAGTTTAATTTTAAATAAGCAAAAACCAAATAACTCCCATACACCGGCTAACAGGCGAAGTCAAGCTCAGTGGGAGAAGGCAGACCTTTACTTCTCTGGAACATGGCTCAGTTAGTGTGCCTCATGTCCTCTCCCACACAATTTAAATTTGGAATCACATTTCTAGAGCAATTAACCAGTCTAGGGTCATGAAACAGTCACAAGCAAACTCAGTCTTTATTGACACAGTGAACTTGGACTCCAGCTGTTGAAACAGTAGGTTAGTTCTTATGCCTGCCAGTCAAGCCAACACCAGCATTTCAGAACTCTGGTAAGGATTAGAGCAATTTAGGCGTGTGAAACTGCCTGGCAATCTGCAATGAAATCTGCATTGAGAAATGTGTTCTGTGGCCAGGTCTGTAACTCTAAAAGTGATGAGAAGCAATGCAGTGGTTTTTCTTCTTCATATGCCTTTCAAGTTCACACTCCAACTACTGTAGTGACACAGGTAAAAACAGCAGCACAGAGATTCACTGCGCCCTCAGTCTGCTCGCTGTAATTCTAAACTACACTTACCAACTCAATCTTTGTAGTACTCTTTGAACCAATGCCGTCCTGTGCCCATTTTTTAAATGAGTAAACGGAGCTACAGAGAACTAACTATTAAATGTCAAACGGGAGCTACAAGGTAGCTCAGTGGGTAAAGGCACTTGCCGCCAAGCCTGGCAACCTTGAATTCAAACCTCAGAACCTGGCCAGGTGTGGTGGCACACAGCTTTAGTCTCATCGCTGGGGAAGCAGATCTCTCTGGCAGATCTCTGTGATCTCTGAGGCAGATGTCTGTGAGATGGAGGCTGGCCTGGTCTACATAGTAAGTTCCAGGCCAGCTGCGACTACAGGGAGACTCTGCCTCTAAAAGCAAACAAAAACAAGAAACAAAACCTCAGAACCCCCATAATGGAAGAGAGAAACACTTCCTGAAGGTTGTCCCATGACCTCCACACCCGCTCTGTGGCAGGCGCCTCACACATAGGCACACACACAAACAAATGTTCTTAAAAAGTCAGATGTTGTAATGTGACTCTATCCATTGGGTCTGTGTTTAGTTGTACATAACAGAAAACGTTTTCAACATGTTAGTTTTAATTTATTTGAGTAAGAGGCGGTATGAGGCAGGTAAGAGTTGGAGGGCAGCGCCACTGTTCTTCCCCTTGCTCCTCTCATGCCTCTCGGGTCATCTTAGTGCAAGCTTTCTAGCCTCACTCTCTTCTCAGTGGTCCAAGATGGTGGTGGCACTGTGCTTCAGTCTGAAGGAAAGGAACAACGGCCAAGGGGCCATTCTAGAAGTCCCACCTAACAACTGACTTCTCTTGGCATCACATGGACAGTCCTTCTGCAGAGAAAGCAACAAAATGGCTGTTGATTTTTGGTTTTGGTTGGTCACATTTCTCAAGGTTTTGTGACAAAGGGGACGTGCACCATACCAGACAATTAATTGCACAGGCTATAACTGTGCTGTTGGTGGCAGGTGATGATACCTGTGCTGTTGGTTGTGCTTGATGGGAAAGCCGCATTACTATTTTCATTTCTCACCTGCAGTACTCATCTGGAAAATACAAATAAGGTGGGGTAAGCAATTCAAAAATTAGAACTGTACTAAGGTAGCCAGGTTTGCTTATTCACAATTTATTTATAGGTAAGGAAATTCTTTAACTTCATAGTATTTAAGGAGTTACTTTAAACTCACATTATAAATTGAAAAGTGGAAATTTTCCTCACTTATACTCTAAAATTTTAATCTGAAAATTTTCTTTCCAAGGTATTACTTTAGATTTACCTTTCAAGGAGGAAATGTCCTGTATTAAGCCCTTTATCTTTTAAGGAAGAGAGTATTTGAATTTGGTATTTAGATTTCTGTGTGTGTGGAGGAGACAGGGTCTCACTATGTAACTCTGACTGGTCTGGAACTCCCTGTGTAAATCAGGCTGTCCTACACCTCACAGAGTTCCACCTGTCTCTGCATCCCAAGTGCTGGGATTGAAGGTGTGTGCCTCCACACCTGACGGTAGACAGTTTTTAACTGTGTATGCTCAATTATGGCCAAAACTTTTCTTTTGACCTTAGTTTTAAAGTAGGTCAAATGAATGTAAAAATTCATTCATTCATTTATTCATTGAATAAATACTTGCTTGGAACTTAATAGGTACTGAGTACATTATATTTAAGAGTAATTTTTATTCATTATTAGGAAAACAACGGAGTAATGTATAACAAATGTCTAAAAGTTTGTGACTTGCTGAGTACCTCTGTGGTTAAACATGTATTTCTTTTCATACAGGTAAACCAAATTTGTCATAAAGGGACATTGAAAAAAGAAACTTAAAACTCCTTTAGAATATATGAAATATGAATATTTCAACTAAATGTGTATTACACAGAGAAAAACACAATTGATTTTATGGATTTTTGCATACTATAAAATAAATATTAATAATTTTCCTTTTTAAGAGTAAACAACATACTGAGAAATTTTTGAAACACAAAGCTCTCCCCAAACAGGCTGATGCAACTCTCAAATAGATATATTTGCAGCAAATAACCTTCTCATTTATATTAATGCAGCCATATTACTTCTCTAAGGAAATATTTATAAATATTGCTATTGTGTTCCAGAAAAGCATTAGGAAGAAAATCATAGAATATTCTACAATGGAAAATGTAATAAAATGTTTCCCCCTGATAGAATTCAAAACTTCATATATTTCAGTACAAGAAGGGCTATAACTTCAGACACCAAGCCTGAAGGGCTGTGGCTATTGTGTTGTGAATTATTTTCAGTGTCTTGGTAATTCTGGTTATCTTCTGACATCAGGCAGGCCAAGCAAATGAATGAGTCATTACTCATTTGCAGAGGGCACAGCCCAAGGTAGTTGGGGGAGGAGCTCAGAGCTCCTGGCCTGCAGCAGCCCTACTGGAGGGCTGTGCAGATGCTGCGGCTCTGGTTATACAGGTCACCTAAATGGCTTGAGTCTGTAGGACACAGTATAGTCAGGTAAAGTGGAGTTAATAAAAAGAAAGGCCTAAAAGTCAGCAAGACCCAGAGGGAGGGGGTCTGTGTCAGGGGTGGGGAGGTAAATGTAATTCTTTAAAAGGCAGAAAACACATTAACAAATACGATTCTCAATCTTTTTCCTTTCGTGCCTTTAATATTATCACAAAAAAATGATTTAAAATAATCAGGCTGGGGAAGTGGCTCACAGCTTAAGGTCCTTGGGGCCAAGGCCAACCACCTGAGTTTGACTCCAGGAGCCCACATGGTGGAAAGAGAAAACTGTGCAAGCTGTGCTCTGTCCTTCACACTCTGCTGTGGCGGTGTGTGCTCCCCCCCCAAGCACACGCACACACACACACATATGCCCACGCCATAGCCGTTCACCTTGTTGTGACTGACTAGTTTATAGCTCAGGAACAGATGAGAATGTGTCTGAGCAAAAGCTTGTCCTTCCTGCTCTTCAAAGTCAGTGTTATTTTTATAGTGCGGTGCATATAGAAGCCCTTTCTTAGCACTTTGTGAATTTCTTTCCAGATATTTCCCTCTTCTGTAATGAAACAATGGTGCTTAAGCCCTACCAAATACTGTTTAACTAATGAGCAGACCATCTTGGTGTTATTCTTAATTTCCACTTAATATCAAAAGGACCTGTGTCCTTCATTAGGGGTTCCTGGCACAACAAAAAGGAAATCTTAAAAGTATGTCTTGGTGGCAAAATACAATAATAACCGTGCTTTATCATTTCCCCATATTCAATAATCAGACAGTAACCAATCTTTCACTAACTGATACTTCCTAATATAACCCATTTGCTCACTCGCTGCCCACTAAAAGCAGTATAAATCTAAATTTGAAATCCCATGGATTAACCCTCTTCCTTCCTCTAATATCTCTTAGCCAACATCCACAAAACAAGCAATCTTCTAAAGTAATTAAAGAACAGGGGAAGAAGGCTGGTCAAACCACTCATTTATTCCCAGAGCCAGAAAGTAACATCCTCCATCTTTGGCTTAGCACTTTCAAAACAACAATGCCAAGATACTTCAGAATGATCAAACCAACGAAACACATAATCGTGGCTACATAGCAGGTATGTAAGACAAAGTGCACCTTTGTCCCAGGAAGATGACTGAGGTACTGCTGGAAGGTTATTTAGCCTTAAGAGAAGTAAACTTTCATGGCAGTAACACAACCAGGCTTGATGAGAGAAGCAGATCAAAGAAACTAAAAGTGGAGCATGTTGGTAAATTATTTATGATGCTGCTGATACTGTATCGATCTGAGGCTGTTTTCTCTTAGTCCTACCTTCCTGATACCTACAGAAGATGTCATCACCCAAAGAATCATGCCCCAATGAGGGGGAGAGAATGGGGAGCTAGTCAGGCCGTAGTTCATAGACACCTGGTTATCCAATATAGTCCTGCCATATCTAATGACAAACTATGATCTCTGCATATCTCATCTCCCAGGAAAGACATGGTGTATCATTTCACCCTGTAGCCTGAAGGAGAAAAAGGTTTTGCCCTACCTGCCAAGATCACATTACCTCAGCATCAAAAAGCTCAATACAAAACCGAAGCTTTCAAAAACATAAACATGGTATCAAAAGGGCATTTGTATTTTGAGAACTTTGTTTATCTTATTCTTTTTTGAATCTCCAGTGCCAGAAAACTGCCTAGCACATGGTGGGTAGTTGTTCGTGTTTAGTGGACAATTTAACAAATGAATATTGGGGTCCAGGCAGTTGAGGCTATATACTCAGAAGCATGTCGTAGAAAGTCACTGCCTCCCATGACAGATTAGACTAGCTTTCTTTTAGGCAAAGGCTTACTTGGGAGAGGAATAGCTTTTCCTTCCTCAGAGCTGAGGATGAATTTCAGATATGGGCATGCATTGGGGAAACTCCTAGGATGTATCCCTTGTCCTTACACAAACAATCTCAACACATTTGCTACCATCTTTGGACCAAAGTATGTACATGATAAAAGAAGAAGAAAAGGAACTGTCAAAGATGCAATGTCCTTTTCATCTCAATCGAAAAGGGATATGAGAAGACTGTTGTTAGTGCTGCTGTGGTTGCCTGCAGTCCATTTGCTGGGAGGTGCTTAGGGCACCTTTTTTAATTTTTAGCTTAGGCTAGATGAGTGAATTTTGGTAGGTGATCAACTTGGTTTGATTGAAAAGAAATTCAAAGAATATGTGTTAAATGATTGTTGGAAAGCTACTTAAGACAGGCATACTGTAACAAATGTATTTGGCTAATGCTCTGCTTTTCTTCCAAATCGTAAGCATTTTGTGTAATTAAATTTAAAAACTGCAGTGTTGAAGAAAGTGTTAGGTACATGTACATCTGTGCTGAAGACCTTTCAGACTGACTGAAATTTCTGAACACAGAGATGAAATTTAACAGCTCAAGAGCCAAAATTATCTTGGGCCATCTTTAGCCTAATTGTCATTTACTACCAACCTCTGTAACTGACCTAATATCTTTGTGACTACTAGATGAAACTTTTGGATTCTTTTTTAAATTTTTAGCAGACCACTAGTTCTACCAATATTAAAGCTAAGAGTGTTGCAAAACAGCATCCAAACCTACAGAAGACAAGTCCCTGCTCTGCTGTAACCCTCCTACCCGATGTCTCCAGCTGCGTATTTGGTCAATGTTTGATTTATGGTTGTCTTTTGTTCTGTGACTACAAAACTTCGTGTAATCTCTTCCACAGTGGAACATGTGACTGAAGGCATAAGAAATCAAGTAATTGATGATCTGGGTTCTTGTAAGAGTATAAGAACCTTTAGAACTTTAAGTTTTGAAGACTGAAACAACTATTTTGAAAGGCAATTTGGCAGCATGGATTATAATGTTAAATGACACAGCAATTCTTTTCAATACCAATTGTGGAGAGTTAGAATGCTGCTGATCCAGAGCCTAATTAACTCAGGTAATTTTTATTCCCACCCTTATGTTTGACTTAATATCCTTTTGACTATTAGGTAAAACCTTTGAAATGTATTATAAGCTGAAAACTAACTTCCACCAACCAAAAGCTAAGAATATCATCAGTTAAGATCTAAAACCTGAAACAGTTTTTGTCACTCTGTTGTTACCTGCTTTCCTATAGTCCCTATCTATTTGGTATATACATTGATTTATGAATTTCTTTCCTTCTGTAACTAGAAAAAGCTCATGTAAACTACTTCCACAGAGGAACATGTTTTTTGAGGCAACCTCAATCTGTGTTCTTAGGCCATGGTCACTCATCTTTGGTTCAACATAAACTATCTCTTACTCTCTGAAGCTAGAACTATTTTGCATCAACAAGGTCTATTAAAGAATGTAACGGAGGGGCTGGAGAGATGGCTCAGCAGTTAAGAACACTGGTTGTTCTTGCAGAAGACCTGGGTTCGAATCCCAACACCCACATAGCAGCTAACAACTGTCCATCAACACAGGTGCACTTACCTACATGCAGGCAATACACTCATACACATAAAATAAAAATAATTTTAAAAAATTTAAGATTTTTTTAAAAAATAATTTAACAGAAACATTA